TATTGATGGTATACTTGGAATTGCTCTAGGGCCAATGAGGAAGTTGGAGACATTCTCATGAATGAATGACATACATTGCATGTTATGTCAAAAGCGTATTAAAAGTTTAAGACGACGGTACGATTACATTACGATTCAATTCGTTTAACTATTACGGGCTGTGTAGAACAATCAATCAACCAGTCTGAAGTAGAAATTAATTTTCAATTCATAAATACTGTTGCTTACTATAAAGCTAGTCTAAATTATTTAATTAATTACATTTGAAAACTATGAGAAGTATTAACTTCATTTTAAGTGAATAATACAGTTATTACTAAATGTGCTGTGGCACATCACTACGTAACGTTCCATTTCACATAATTTCAGTATTGATAATTATATTATTTTGCGACGACTATTTTAATTTCAAATTTCTATACTGTATTGTTTTACTAAATTGCACATAGAACTATATTTATTAACATGATTATTTACTAGCTTTTTTAAAACAATTTTACGCTAGTATCTTTATCAGTAATGCAACTTGCAACGGAATGCATTTTATCCTCCTGCCACGTTTTGTCCATGAAGCTAAAGATAAAAATGGAGGCCAGACTTAGAATACCTACTTGAAGCACAACCTATGTATCACTATCTCGCTCTCTGTGGGCAGGCTCTCTCTTTCTAAGTAGGGTAACCTTTTATTTATTTTTCTCAGGACGACAAAGACTGATTTACGTTTAAACAGTGTGTCTTGATAAAGTGCACTTAATATGATTATGAAAAAAGGTTTTCGATGTTTTTGTTTTAAGATGAATTACAACATTAAGAAAGTGTAAAGGCATCGAAAACTGTGGATATTTGATAGAAAACAGATTTTAATTTGGCAGTTGACAGACGGATTTGGATATGGATTGATTACAGTAAACGGCCGTAGAAAACATTATGCAAAATTAGATAAGTAAGGTCCCACAGAAAGTCCCAGATATATCCTCAATATGGTCATACTACTTCAAAATGTCTTATAGAAACAAAAATTTTAAATTTGCTCAAAGTCAATGAAACTCAATGTAAAATCTTCTTTTTCTTGACATATGTAACATTTAATAATAAGTTTAAATACTGGTAAAACGTTTTAGGAAGTAATTACTGTGAAAATACAAAGAAATATGTTAACAATGATCCACTGTCAGAAATCACGAAATAAACACTTACGCGTGGAATTTTATATCACTTCCAGGACAACACGAACTACCGCAACCACGCACTATACAATTTTGCACCATTTCTTCAGACAAAACAATGATAAGGTCCCTTGAAAAATCTCAAACGAAATCAACTGCATAGTAAACAACCGCCATGATGGGCCGGATTCGGCCGATGTTGCCACATTACCGATACCTCAGAAATTGGGATTGTAATTCCCTGATTCGCCAACACATTAAGCCTAAATGGCCGACAATTTTGTGATTTTTTATTTAACTAGGTAATCTAAGTTTCAAATATTAATTATTTATTTATTTAACTTCTTATTTGGTTAGTGAATTGGCTATTTCGAAGAATTTACAAGGAGATTTAAATAAGAAGATAGCAATACTACAGTTCACACTAAAAAGAGAGGTAGGGCCACAGAGAGCGAGATAGATATAAGTAGGTATTTGACTCAAGTTTTGTTCCCAACTTTGCCCTCCATTTTTATCTGTAGCTTCATGGTTTTGTCCAACTGGAATTTTTTGACCAATCACAGGATTCCGTTCCAATCCACTCAATTTTTGTTTGACGTTTTGTGCTATTTCATTTTGACGTGTAACTTCGCTTTCCCTATATTTACAAAAAACGGATTTATTCCAATAAAAATATAACAACATGTCGAGCGGTCAATGGGAAGTTGTTGGGAAGAATAAGAAGTCTCAAAACGGTAAAGTTAAATCGAAGGAAGATGTAAAAAAATCTATCAAAAATGGGCCGAAACTTGAGGATGTCGGTGAGTCCCATAACCTTATGTTTCTGTAGTTGATGCATTTTCTGTACCCTCTTTATCTTAGTTCTCTATTTCTTCTATGGCAAAGTCTAAAACAACCAAGTGTTTACACCTATTGATATAATAAAAATTAAATTAATTTCATTGAAGGTAAACATTAGATAATTTCTTCAAAAGTAACAGTTGAATGCATTACATAGTGAGTACATGGATTATTGATAACATAAAAGTGGGTGCAGCAGTAATAAAATTTACAATTATGTTTCCAGTTCCTCACTCGGAGATCAAATCTTTTTACGCTGGAATGGTGGTGGACGATGACAAGAAGCCATCTAAAGACAAAAAGAAGGAAGGCGATAAGAAATCTAAGAAGCAGCAGGACAAGAAAGCGGAGCCTCCTAAACCAAAGCCGCCCAAAACTATTGATGATGCTTTAGAGTTGGTATGTAGCCTTATTCGTACTGACGACTGCACATCATCATTTGTGTTGCAAAATAGCACCTATTGCAACTAAATAAGAAGCTGTTTAGCTTGATATGCTGTCGACTATAATAAGTATTTTAGTTTTTAATAAAAACAAACTATTACCTAGTAACCCAGGTATATTAATGTGTAGTGTACAGACAAGAATAAAGAGTACACAGATTTTTTATGATCAATTCTTCTTCTTTTCGTGTCGACTGCTGCCACAAGAGTGGCATTGTCAGCAGCACTCATCAAATCCTCCTGAGTGCAGTTGCTTGGGCACTCAGGGCACGACATCAGGTCTCTATCAGGAGATCTCTATGATCAATTAATTAAACAATTCATTTTACAAAGACCTGACTGGTAAAATTTTATGCACCAGCTCTTTATGCATTATTCAAATTATAAAAAAAGTAAATAACTATTCTAAAAGTTAGCATAACTTATGGACTAAAGTATAATTTAACTACTCAATGCATCTCTGACATACTTGCTACAATACAAAGTAGTTTTCTTACATAAAATTAACAGATGACCTCCTTTTCTGATAATATAAGCTGATGATGTAACTGTTGCACAATGCTTTTGTTGTGTGCTCTGAATTTGTATCTTATTTCTACTTTTACCTCATTTTATGTTGATATTATGTCACAGTTTCAGAGTGAAACTTGTGCATTAAAAAACTGTTAAAAGAAAAAAGTATTTATTTAAAGATAGTTACTTTTCTAATATTTTAAAATATCAACACACTTATCTGTTTGTACACTTTGTTTTCAGATCGACCCTTCCGAACTAGCCTCAATCATAGCAAGTAACAAACTTAGGTTCTCAAACGCACCACTTGTCTGGCTAAAAGAAGTGGCCAATTTCCTCAATTCTAAAATTCAAATAGACGTGGATGACCCCACTTTTGGAAATTACAATCTAGACTATCCGTTATCAGTTGTGCCTGACGAGATCCAAAGCAGCCTAGAAAAGGTTTTGCAAGATGCAGGAAAGGCCAATGCTCAATTATTCTACGATGTTACACTCACAACTTTGGCAAATGATATGAGCAGAGGTAGGTTATTATTTGTTTATTTTTTTAAGTGTTATAAATTGGAAAAATATTTTTACTCAATACTCAATCGTTTATTGCATAACCACATTAGCATTCACATTAGATCTTACAATTTAGGCAGTTATACAATGTGGACCTAATTTTATATTATAATTTCACACATTTAGATAGACCTTTCCTCATAATATACTTTTAACCTGATAATATGAAACAGGTACTTTTCCAGCATATTTACATTATAAAAACTACTTTTATAACATTGGCATCAATTACAATTTTCTTATCTCTTTTTCAATGTGACATTCTCATGTAATATGTAAACAAAGTGTAAAAGACATTATTTTTATGAGAATGCTACTCTTTTAAATACAGTATTGAAACAACTGTTTCTTTTGCATAAATGTAATTTTAAATGAAACATGAATGAATGATTCTGTAAAAAACAATTAACCTAGACCTACACTAAGACCATGAAATTACTTAATATTTTTAGTGAAAGTAGGTAGTCATTCACCTTTTAACTTGCTGCACGTAGTATAATGACCCTGACTTACAATCATACTCATGTTTTACTAAATATAATCATTATTTAACTGACATATTCTATGTCCAGCACAATCCGTGAACGGACACAGACTGCTCCTTCAAATGCTAGCAAAGGCGTACCCAGAATTCTGCGTAGCGTCTGTAGCGAAGAGTGCGAGTCTCCGCAACTCGTACCAGAACCGCCCGCCGATTGGCCTGACTCTGCTGTGGGCCTTTGGCCAGGGAGGCCTAAGCGATTTTGCTGTGGGAGTGAAAGGTACCTTTGACAAATTTGATACTTGGTTATAGGACGCTCAATAAAAGTTGAGACGATCACATACTTACACTGATGTAATATTTGAATTCAGAACACCCAATTAGTCGGAATACGCAAGACGTAAACGTGACAAGCGTACATAAAAATTTTTGCTTGTGTTGATTGCCTCAACTCTTGTTGCGCGACCTCTAATATTTGATTGCGTTTTAAGTCTCAAAAGAGAAAAATGTCTCTGTAAATGACACAGCTAAATATCTAATTTTGTCATTGCTGACTGCCTCAGAATTTATTATTCCACCATGTTTTTCTTATAAAATTTAGCATACCAACTTTTTGATACCTACTACAGTCCAAATTAAACTCTAAGGTGTAAGAGATAAGTTCAGTTCATCGGTTAAAAATGTAATAACATGTCAAGATAACACCTTTCGATGATGAACTTATCAGTTATCTGCCGCAAAGGTGTCTGACACTATCTTAGGTAGAGCACTAGTTAGTGCCTTTTGCTGCAAGTAAAAGGTTGTAGTTGTTTACTCCAATATTTAACGTTAATATTTCATTAGTGGATCAAAAGTAAAAATTATTTTATTTATTGATGAACTGATTGATTTGTTGCATTTCATCTATCTGATGTGATTTACAGCTGCATTATAAAATGCATTGTGTATGCGATACGATAGTCGTTTATTTCATTGAATATGCATTATTTGATCGATAAACTGAATCAGTTTCACTTTTTGTTGAAATTAATATTAAAACACTTATTACAGCGTGGCAAGAGCTGTTCCTGCCAATTATAGAACTGAAGAATTACTCTAAGTACGTCGTGGCCTACCTTGGCACGTTGCTCGATTGCCACGCAGATATGGACGCCACGAAAGTCAGCCAGGACCAACTTCTGGCCATGTTTGATATGGTGAATGCCAAGAAGAATTATCTGTCCAAAGAATTATCAAGTGACCTTATCAACCAATTAAGTAAATATAAGGTGAGTTGGTTACTGCATTATTTAGATAAAACTTATCCCCTAAGTGGCACTTTTGACCGCTCCGAAATTCGAATCTCTTCACGGAGCAAAGTAAATCTATACCAAAAATATAACCGTCCTTTTGGCGCAGTCGGGTAAAAAGGCCGAAATTTCGAATTACAACTGTCACATTTTGCCCCTTGTCTCGGGTGGAAGATATTATGAAGATGACCGACATTGTCGTTACATTTTTAGAATAATCTGATTTAATTTTATCCATTTAAAAAAACATATAAATGCCTGGTAAAGTATCTGGTGCACACTTCACTGCATTATGTGTTTATTGCCCTAACCACTATGATCTTACATGAATTAAGAAAACTATATCAGTTGTATATTTTTATTACATTTCTAATCCTCTTTCTTCATTCCAGGATATATATTTCAATAAGAGTGGCAATAAGTTACAAGTAACGTTCAATCAGATAATGAAGAAGCTGCCCAATCAGTACCTCAGTGGGTCGAATCTAGACGCCTACAATAAAGTCCTGGTGGAGAGCCTGGTCGACTGTCTGGTCAGAGACGACTCGTGCAATGCCACCTGGCGACAGCTGTTCCACAAATGTACCAAGCAGTCGGCCACACTGCTCGATTATATTAGTAAGTTGTCTTGATATTTTATTTGAAAGATATCGTGTATTGTGTCTTGAAACTCATAAATTGGAAAAAATATGGTGATAAGTGGAACAAATATCCGCATCATTTCATTGTACAAATCAAATTAATCCGTGAAAAATTGTGTGGACACCCGTTTATATTCTTTAGGGTTGTCACACATTGTATCGATTAATCGCGTCTGATCGTATCGAAATCGTATCGCCGTATTTTTTTTGGATAGCTCTCAAATTCTTTCTCCTGTCTCACGAAGTTGGCTAGATGAAAGCGGGCAAATATTTAAAACAAACTATTTCCACTTTAGACAGCAACTGGGCAGAAGTAAGCCCACGACTGAAGCGCAAATCGCTGAAGACCACAGTCGTCCAGTTCCGGGAAGTGAGCGGGGACGCTCTGAAGGGCAAGAAGAAGGACGAGACTGTCGTCAGAACCTCCAAGATATGCCAGGTCAGTGACTTTAATACGTATTTCAAGTAATGAGTTTAGATTTTTCGCAGGTATACACTTTTTGTACAAAGTTGCTAAATCGTAACATATTTTCCTAGTAGCCAATCAAACAGTAGATTTTATATTTTCTACATAAGTAATACATAAATTCCGTACTATTCATTATATTATTTGCTTAAAAAACTGCAAAGCAATTATAACTTTAATTACTGCAATATTGTTTCACTTAACAAATAACGCGTGTGAACGCATCCTATCTTATTAAATTTCTCTGGCTGAATGTGCTCACACCACGTCAGTGTCATGTCATGTCATAGTTTAAAAAAAAAGTAGGGCGACATTTTTGTTGGCGTTGAAGTTGAAATTATTTTATTTGCTTCGCATCGAATGAAAAATCGTCCAAACGTTTAGGTAAATATGAGAAATTCAATCAATGAATTATTAATAATTTGTTATATTTATGAATTACTTATTTGACGGAGTGATGTGTTGGCCAGTAGGGCGTATCGCGTAGTGCTTCGCGTTGGTCCGTCGTATTTGTTGAATGAAACTAGAAAAACCACTTTGTGCGTGTGTAGAAAGCACCCAACCGCGATAACCGTAAATAGCGTGTTAATATCCGTTACTATGTTGTAAACGACCGCCGTTGATTGGAATCTGTAAGCTCCACAAGTGTTAGATGAAATAAATATCCAGGTAACCAGAAATATTTTTCACCAGTGAAGTGTTATTTTTACGAATACTCAGTCAAAAATATATTAATGCTAGGCTAATTCAATATTCTTACTCTTCTGCTATTAATTACCTGAAATCTAAAATATATTTATACTTATTTTCCACATTCCTTAGTCAATAATAGTAACAGGATAAAAGTAAACTTGATGTAGGTATGTTGCTTTTTGTGTAACTAATAATTTCCGAGTGCATTTTACAATATAAGAAAAGGTAAAGTTAAATGACATGAGTAACATTTTGTTTTGTAATATCCATTTATTAACTCCAGTAAACAAAGAAATCGATGAATGTCATTAGAGTTCATGACATCATTAATTAGATAGTTATTGGGTGTGATAACTTTGTGTACTAAAGATAACCCGGCAGGGAGCAGTCTGTGTGTTAACTAACATTGCAAAGGACCAGTTTTCTAACAAATAGAACTCTTTATTTGGTTAAAATTCCTGATTTCTTTTGTTAGTACAGGTAGGCACTTTTGTCTCAAATACTGTCTGGTTTATAAAAAAATTAATTGCATTAATGTATTTCAAAAGCTAATACTTATCACTAAATATTGTGTTATTGTGCTGATGCCTTTGTGGACTTTAGAACATAGATTTCATTTTACATTGATATAAAACTTCTCAAAATTTATAAATCAGTTGTGTATTACCATAAAAGAAGGTTGCTCAACAACTTTCTCTAAAGAGATTGGTCAGGTGGATTTTTCTGAACAAGTTTTAAACTAAAAATTTCTTTTTACAGGATATTCTAGACAGGATGACGAGTACTAGAAGTTTTCCGTGGATAAAGGCCATTTTCGTTGTGCTTTTGAGTATCATTGGATTGGTGGCATATGATGTTTCGAGAGCTGGTGACTTCCCAAGTAAGTTTCTGTATATTTCTATCCTCTAAATTAAATCATCATCAAATTAAATTAAGAATGACACCAAACTCGTTCCCACTGCTGCAACTCCTGTGTAGATAGGATCTACAGCTTGACCACCAATAAGAACGTACTGCTAACCTCAATAATATTTTTACAGAAAGCGCAACAGGGAAGCTATTTAAAGATCTTGGGATCTTAGAGCAGAGTCAGCACGCATGGCAGAAGACTCTCTCCACGTCCGCCCGAGGATATATTTGGCTGGAAACCAACACCCCAGTGTACTACGCACAGACGATCGAGATATGCAAACCGTATATTCAGCTCTCCAAAGATCTCTTCACTGTAGCCTGCAACAAAGTCAGTGTGCTCTATGCAAACATACAAGAGTTTGTCGCAGCGAAAACACCAATTGTTGTGGCCACGATAGAGCAGTATGTTCCAGGACTGATCGACAATGTCCAGAATTATACATTAATTGGATACTCTGCTGTTAAGAAGTTTACTATTCAGTACTACACATTGTCCTCCGACTACCTGGCTACTAAAGTGTTCATGTAAGTTGGTTTTTTGTATTTGTAACTGGAATGTAATGGTTAATTTTGTTTATTAGAGGCAAGGTTTTTACAAAACCTTTATCTTTCTATTTCAGAGGAGAATGGGCGCCAGAGATACTACAGAACAAAACGCAAACAGCTATCAATGTCACCAGGGACCACATGTCTACCTACTTCCACTGGTTCAGGAAACAGGTGCACTTGTACTCTGAGATACCCTGAAGGGGGCACCTTCCATAATTTATCTGATATCATTTAACACTGCAAATGGAGAATTGCCAATTTCTTCGTCAAAATGTTTGTGACAGTCAATATTTTAGTATACCAAAAGCAATATTTATGTTATTTATCACTATTTTAGTAACAAAACCCCATTCTACATTGTATTTCAGAATATTTGTAGTAATGGTTTAAGTTCATAGCACAAATTTTTAATATTAATTTTTAATGTTTTAACAATCAATCCTCCATTTGCACAACCCCAAAAGAAATATTTTCGCTGTTTACGAGAATCTTATTTTTAAATGAGTACAATAATTCTCATTTAGTAGTTGCAACGAAAGATCTATAGTTTTTAAATATTGTTGATCTTATTCATGTCATTAATGCAATAAATTAATCATATCATCAAAGGAACAAAATTTAATATATTTTTAAACTTACGTCCATGACATTTAAATTAAAATGATCAGTATTTCGAAAACACATTCCTAACGATGCATTTATGTCTTGAATTTTACTTTTACACCAAGTTACCTTTTGGTTATACTTATCATATAGCTTCTAATAACAGGAATCATCTATGAAATTGTTTTAGAGTTACAAGAGTGTAGAGCTGTAAGTTTTTTTGTAGTATATTTATTTGTGTTGATGAATGATTGTGTGTTTTTAAATATACGATATAAATTCGAATTTGTTATGTTTAATTATCAATTCCCCATTTAAGTTTTAAAGTCTTGAAATTAAACAAATTGATAAAAAATATTTATTTATTATTAGAAAAGAATAATCTATTAGTATTTTCATAAATAGCATTTGCTAATTCATCAATATTCTCCTTCCTGATAGCAGCCAAGATCTCCAGGACATGTCTGAAACAAAAACATTATTTTAAATTAGACATTTTTACATAGTTGCATTGCATTTCACCCATGGGCTTATCCACAGTTGATTTTTATTGACGCCAAATAAAATTGTTTAAAATACATTACACTATGTTCACTGGTTCATTTCTTCCTTTCACTTGATTTTCTGAGTCCACTGAGTATTTTTCTTTCTTCACCGATGGAAATTTTGTAGCCACATGCTTGAAACCAGGGTGGGTTTGTTTCACTTCACACCAAGGGCAGTCGGTCTCTATCATCAGCCTATCTCTTGGTATTTTTGAGGCTACTTCCAGATTTTCTTCTGTTCTGAGTGAACTGAAAATAATAGCTTACTATAATAAGTCTTGTATAAAATAATAGGATGAGGAAAATCATTAGGTTGGAGGTATTTTAAGATTTTTATTCAGCTGTTACAAAACATAGCAATATTAAATGTAGACCATAAAATATGGCAAGGCAAGATCAAAGCCACACTGAAGCTGAGTTGCACCGCCTTACTTTAATCTTAACCTGCAGGGCTAAGATGCGCGCCGTGATAAACTGCTATCGCGGCGTTATATCGATTTTGACGTCACTATATCGTTTTATCTATCGGCGCTAACATGGCACCCCGAAAATTATCATGTCATCTGTCAAAATGTGATAGTGATAGATTTGTTTTTTTTTTGTGATAAACCTGGCAAGCCCTAACATGAAGCGCTAACTATATCATATTTTGACATCACGATAGGATAGGATGTGGTGTTTTTATCGTCCTCGATCCTTGCCCACGATAGCAAGACGATAGGAGATTAACTTTTTTGCAAGCTACTTTAACTCTATTTATTTATCATTTATAATGGTAAATTACATTTTACGACTAATTTGAGGCTAGTAAAATTCAAAGAAAGGAATCTAGCACCTTTGTGATACTTTTACTTCTAGGTGGAGATTGAGTTCTAGTTCAAGAGTTTATCAGTGTGAGGCGAATCTTGCGACAGTTTATAATCGCTAGCTGCAAAATCTTAGTGCTCCCACAGTCCCACCTACATATTAATTATTACACTACCTACCTTGTAAAATAACCATTACTTACCTACTTAGGTAGGCAGTCAACAGTACATCAGACAATACATATTAAGTTGCAAATGTCGTGAGATACCCCACAGTGTTTAGCTTGATTTAAGTACCTACTTACATCTGTACATAATCTTGTAAAATTATTGAAAATGGGGCGGAATGTGGTGACCGAGCTTCTTGTGTCTACATCAAACAGTGGCAAGGTCATTGTCAGAAATTAGCATTGGGTGGGATGTGTAATCAAACTTGCTATAATAACAATGAGAATAAATGAATTTTACTAATTTTATAACTTGATGGTGATACCATACATACATTCCACATTACTATCAATCTAATTCCTCCATGTGGTCTTTTTTAAGGGCTTTAATGTGACAGGATGATAATCTTGTACAATTTATTCCATTATAATAAATTCATCATCATCTCAGCCATAGGACGTCCACTGCTGAACTTAGGCCTCCCCCAATGCTTTCCATGTTGCCCGATGGGGCAGCAAGGTTCTGGGGTGGAGGCCGGGTACCGGAATACGCAGCGTGGGACGTCCACCCACAAGGTGGACCGACGACATCATAATGGTAGCAGAAAGGCGCTGGACGCAGGCAATAAATTCATTATTGCAGTGTAATTTCAAAATAATTCAACCATTATTTACAAAATCTTTATTTGGAAAACTTTTGTTTTACAATAGCTATTTATAATTTCAAATACAAACAGAATTCCATGAATTGGTTAGCCTAGCCAGTACCCTTGAAGTTTTTCTTGCTGATTGTTATTGTAAATTTTCATGATAGTGAGCAAGACTTGATTATGTCTGCTTTAGAATGAAATAATCACTCATAATCCCACACTTCTTCATCCACTGTCTGAAAAAAGAAAGAATATTATTTAAACACAATTATAAATATTACAATTACATAAACAGTTCATAAATAGAAACATTTACTTAATCCTATTTGTATTTTAAGTTTACATACAAAATATTGATCACAGTATTATTACACGGTGAAAGAACTATGTGAAATAAATATAGGAAAGAAGGTGAAAGCTTATTTGTAGGAATAAAGATATTTTTCCTTTTCTCCGGTGCTGTTACTTATGAAAATCAAGATCTGCGGAGTATAGCTAATATTTTAGACTTTAGGTACTTACTTTGCTACTTATGAGTGTAACTTTATTTCTCAAATCTCAATAAACTTTCTGACTGCTTCATGTAAGTTGAATAATTACTGTAAACCTCGCATTATGGGGTGGGTAGTGGAGTTCGGTTATTCTGTTAATTTTGAAGACTTCATTCTTTAATACTGTCGGTATGATTAGGAATTCTTCATTGTTTTTCATTAACTTGGTTATCTCTTCGTTTGATATTTTCCGTACGTAACTGCTCCTGAATCGAATGTACCTACTACTACTATTTCTATTTATTTATATTAACCGGCAGACAGTGGTGACTGAGTTTGTTGCGGCGCTTCTTCTCAGCACTTGCCAAATGTTGGTCTCGAAGCGCTGGTAGGGTAAAAAGATTATGAGACATGTAGAGGCTCCTTAAGAGCATATTTTATGACGATTTGTAAGAACTATTTATTAGTCTAAACAAATAAAGAAATTTTGACTTTGACTTTGACTTTAGAAATATTAAAAATAAGACTGGAAACATAAAAATACAATTTTAAAAACACAAACAAATACAATCAAGCAGTCATGTAATGTCAACAAAATTGACATAACTTTTTTTTAATGACGTTCTCACTGCTTTAACATATGTGTTTTTAGCCGAATTAGTAGCAGAAATGAACGAGATTGAACGAATGAGCTAAAATATTTCAAGGTTGGCCAACATAATAACGCAATTTTTTCTTAATATGGCAACAATTCGGTTATCACGCGATAGCGGTCGATAGACTTTTCTATCGATGGTTCCATGTTAGGGAAAATGATAAAATTATCAACGTGATCGAAAATTGTCTTATCATATCATGTCATTGTCGATGCGCGCATCTTAGGCCTACTGGTGTTTTTTGTATAGAGTTTGACAGACTTTTTACATGGAAAAGTTAAAGTAAGATGGTGCCAAGTGGTGATGGTGCTGGTAAACCTTTATTAGAATGGTACTTGGCACTTAGATCACTGTGTTTCAAAATTACATGAATAAACATACCATCCATTGATGCCTATGTACATTCCAATTGCCAGTATCTTGTTCAGGGCTTCCTCAGGTCCATCAAATGAGTGCACCACACCACCAACAACATTATCCTTGTTCCTGTTCAAGATTTCCACCAGATCGTCAGCAGCGGCACGGCAATGAAGGAACAATGGTAAGTTGAACTCACGGCTCAACTGTAATTGGATTTCAAAGTATCTGAAAATAGAAGACTTGAGTTTAGCGAGTGCTGAAATTAAAATCTATCAAAAAAGTGGGCTCTATCAGCTGTATGACTTTTAGTATAATTTTTTGTACCTACCCACCTTCACTTTTGGAAGGCAACCTTTTTATTAATTGTATGTAATAATGATTTATCTGCCATTTGATGCCCTCTGATTGGATACCATGAATGAAAACTGGTTTCAACTCTATACAACTTGAATCATAGTTACTTACTCACTTTAGTTGCACATCTTTTTCACAAAAGTGCAGTCTTTCATAGTCCAGCCCACACTCTCCGATGGCCACAACCTTGTCTTTGTTGTCTGTTACAAGTCGCCTCAAGTCGTTGAGGTAGGACTCTGGGTCAGCCACAAACTCAGTACATCTGGTTGGATGACAACCCACTGTAGCAAACAGCCTTGCTAAAAAAAGCATAACGATTCATTACAGTTGCATGGACCCTCTGACCGAATAAACACTAAATTACTTTACTATGATCGGTAGAAATCAGGTAGATTCACTTACAATCTGTTCGGGAGAGATCAATGGCTTTTTTGCTGTCTGTCACGCTTCCGCCGGTTATAATCATTTTATCCATCCCATTAGCCCAACTACGAGCTAGCACTTTCTCCAAATCTGGATGGTGCTTCTTGGATCCATGGTAAACACCTTGATACATTTCATCAGTGAGGTTAGCCCCAATATCTAAAGACGTAATGGATTAGTTAATCATTAGAGAAGAGCCTATGGGCATCATTATCGAAGTATTATCTTACCGATGTATTTTCTTAAGGACGACATTCTGTTCATTTAAACTTAATAGGTAATCAGAAAAGTAACCTGAAATTCTAAAATTCAGTAAAAAAAAATGATCAGCTGCTGTATTACTTTTCTCTATGGCTGCAAGACTTGACAGTATTGACATTGATAGTGATTGACAGCTAACGGAAGTGACAGCGATTTTTTTTTGTATTTTTTCGGTAAAAGGGGTCAATATATTTGCACACATGTTTGTAGAATGCATTCGCGTTTCATCATCTCATTTCACTTACAGAAATGATTTTATCAAAAATGGTGCACTTTTGTACACATGGATGACCATTTTCATCGTATGGATTTAATGATGTAAAATAATATTTGCACATCACATCGCACACTTTTGTGCGCATTTTTAACGGCTCTATTGACAATTTGACATTGACAGCTGATTAAAATTTCTGAAGAAAGAAAACAAACAACAAACAGTCTTGTTGATAAAAATATTGCAAACAAAGGAGCTAGAAATTCATATTGAAAAGAAACCAACAATCTGTGGATCCGCTGTAACCCGTTTAAATTTACTTAGTTGATTAAATAAGGTATGTTAAAGTAAGTTGAGATCTATCGGTATTTGGCTTTTTATACGCGTTTATTTAACGTAATAAAATTACTTTTTTAAAACTTTGCTCTCTCATAATAATGCCTTGAAAGTACACTTGATTCCTGTTTCTTATTGAAAGCCATAAAGCTTAGTTTTATAATTTTACTATTGACTTGTTATCAGTTACCACTGTTGCTTTGTTGTTTTATTATTTCGTACCGTAATAAATGATCAACGATATTTTGTTTATTCCAGCATGGAATCCAAGAATCTTTTCCAAAGGGGAAATACATTGCAAGTAAGATTGGGTGTAACCAACTACAATACACCATTTGCAGCCAAAACTAGCCCAGAATATATCATAAGTGGTTCAGCAATATTCCAAGTAAAAGTAATTGCTGCCCAGGTTAACAACGGCCACACGAATGTGTACAATAATCTTCTGTTTGTTAGGTTTGTCAAACTACGTCAAGACGATGACTTGACATATGCGATCAAATTTAGCAGCAACGAGTTAGGAATTACCAATAAAAGTTTCATTACTGATGATGGGACGTGGCATCTGATTTATGATAATAAGAAGCAGCAGTATTCCTTTGATGTGACTGTCAGCATGGATATAGTTCCAAGTGCAAGTTCCTTTGCATCATTGCATGAAGATTTAGAGCTGACTGACTTTGAGTTGAGAGGAGAAGATGGTTCCGTGCACATGCACAGAGCAGTCCTGGCAGCTTCAAGTCCCGTTCTCAGACGAATGCTTGGAGGGACGTGGCGTGAGAGCACAGAGGGACATGTGGAAGTCCCAGGCACCTCTAAAATGACGTTACAACACCTCAAAGATTATGTGTACTTACATACTTTACCTGAAACAGGACTAGAGCAACTTTTGCTGCTGGCATCGTATTACATGATGCCTGACTTGGAACAGAAGTGTGTTGATAAACTTGTGAATAGTTTGACTGCGGAGAATGCATGCGACCTTCTAGAATTTGCAGCTAAACACAAAGTCACAAGGCTATTATTGGCGATTTTAGAATGTGTCCAAAGTGGGGCTGTAAAAGTAAACGAAATGCGTGACCATTTCCTTCGGTGTAAATGAGTAGCATTTATCTTTGTAAATTTTGGATAAAATTAGGTATATCTAAAAGGAACATAACGAATTTGTTAGTTGGCTAAATAAGATATTTCTATTTTAATATGTAAAAAACATTATAAATGTTTTAATGAAAGGTGCATAATCACCACTAAAGTCTGAAAATCTGGCACTTATATCCAATTATTTGTTCAATTAGTTTTATTGTTTTAAAGAAAAGGACATGATTAATTATCCTTCATAACTTAATCCAGTGAAATGCCTTGGCAAGATTGGAATACCCAGTGAGTCCCAGTGTATTTCAAAATGAATTTTTTCATAATAACCAACAAAAAGTATTTTGCTCTCTACTGATATTGTGATAAAATCTTGAATTCTGCCCTTGTTTGGTAAGTTTTATTTTTTTAAATTAGGCATTGCAATGATTTTGCTTGCGGTTAGGGTATTTTTGTAAAGTTTTAAAATTTATGCAGTTGCATCATGTTTATGTTATTTGTATTATTAGTTGTACTATTATTGTTAATCTATTATAAACAAATAAAACATACATTTATAGAAACATGTATATTTGTTTTTATGTCAATGATTTTGTGGGTTTACATGGAATCATTATATCACATTATTTAAACAAATTGCATATTAAAGTTATAATAACAATCAAATATTATACAAAACAAATTATCAATATTACATAATGATAAACTGGTGTATCATGTGGATGGGGAATGTATGGTGAGGACTGTGTACATTGTAATTTGATGTAAACAATATCAAATTATTCAAAATATTCAATTATAGTCTTTTTCACGTAAGATGATCCGTATGACACTTCAAGGTTATCCATATTACGCATACTACATATGCAGAATATTTTTGAAAAAATATTTGTATTTTATTAGCAATATAATAAAAAAAAATAACTACCTTGTCTTAAAATATATAGTAAAATCTGAGTCTATTGATTATATTTTAATTAAATACGATGTAAAAATATTATTTATTTCATGTACGCAATGTGTGAAACGGAATAGATTTAGTGCTGGGGTATTTCTTGTATAATAAAATCGATTATTTCCGCGGTTCATTAATCGATTGCAGTGAAAACTTAGTTATTAAAAACATCACAAAAATCAACTATATTTTTCGATTATTGACTTTAATAAACGCATTAAAAATAAATTAATGGTTTTTAATTTAAAGAAACAGAACCAGTACTTTTTAGGAATCGTTTTTTTGAACATGAACCATGAAATTTGAATATTATCAATAAAAAATTGTTACAATAATATTTGTAATTGTAAAAAACATGTTTTTTGTTAAATAACACCTTTAAAAAATATTTCTCTAAAAGTAGGTTTTACTAACTCTTCGAAAAAAATCGATAGATAAATCGCTATGGTTTAGTTATGTGACATCTCTAAATCTTTCAAACTCGAAACGTCATACGGATCATCTTAGGTGAAAAAGACTATAGGGCATAATAATTGGTATTATATTTGTCAACTGGCAGTTAGATAAGTATGTGCTAAATGTATAAAGCGTCTTAAGTTACGTTTTATTTGAGCCTGTCGTGCAGATATCCGTATAATAAAATTAGGTCAATGGCCTAACAGTAAATTTTCAACATTTAAGTAATCCAGTGATCTATAAGCTAGCAATTCCAGGCGCCAGGTCTACTTCTCAAAGACGGTCGCCGTCTCTCGTCATGTTGTGATTTGATTCAGTCATTGATGAGCTTCCAGAATTTCCAGATGTCCAGGTCTAGAACACGTTTGTTGTCTCCAGGTCATGGGGCTTATTTAATTGCTTGATTTAGTTATGTAAATGTAAAAGTTTCATGAGTTAGTGGTTCCAGGTGCTAGGTCTGCCAGGTCTGTCAGGTGCTGTAACCTCGATGACGACGAAAAGATCTAGGTGTCCATGTCAAAAGCTCTATGGTCGGCGTCTTATTTGAGCTACTGGTTCCAGTGTCCAAGTCTGCAGTTCGATTATTGTCTCTAGGTTATCAAGAGGTTTTATTTAACTGGTCCAGCTGTTCTAAAAATAAAAGAGCATCAAAAAGTTTCAGGTGTCAAAGTCTTAAGATGATCGTGAGCGCCTTATTTCTGAGCCAGTAGTTCAAGGTGCGCAGGTCTTCAAGTCAATCTTAGTATCTAGGTTTGCGGAGCTTCCAGAAGTCCAGGTCTGCAACACGGTTGATGTTTGGTGTCTACAGATTATTACGGGAATGAGGGAATGATTTCGTTACTGCTGAGCTAGTGACTCATGAGCTAATAGTTCCACCTGTCAGGCTACAGCACCTCGAGCACGGGCGCCTTCTCCAGTAAGACGAAGGCCAGAAGCTTCAGCAGCGTTGATTTGAGTCAAGTGGTCCAGTTATTTGAGGGTGAAAAAGATCTAGGTGTCCAGGTCTTATTAAGCGATCGTAGGCTCTTATTCGAGCTAGTGGTTCCACCTGGCAGACTACAGCACCTCGAGGACGGGCACCTTCTGCAGTAAGACGAAGGCCAGAAGCTTCAGCAGCGTTGATTTCAGTCAAGTGGTCTAGTTATTTATGAGCGCGACAGGATTCAAGCGGTCCAGTGAATGTCGAGCTTCCAGATGTCCAGGTCTACAACGGTTGGTGTCTCCAGATTATCACGGGGTTGATTTGATTGCTTGATTTAGTTACTGGTGACATGTGGGCTAAAAGTACCAAATGTCAGGCTACAGCACCTCGAGGACGGGCGCCTTCTCCAGTACAACGGTTCCCAGCAGTTCAAGAGCGGGCGCGGTAGCGCTGGCGGGCCGCCGGAACAGCTGCGCGTGCTGCCAGCCTTCTGCTCCCGAGCCGCCGCTCAGTTCCACCATTATTTCGCAGGTGTAGAAGCGGCGCTCGAAGCGCATTGGGGATTCTGGGGAGACAAAGATGACGTCACAAAAATGTCTTATAGTTGGAGCCACTTAGTTCTACCATTATTTCGCAGATACGGAAGCGGCGCTCGAAACGCATTGGGGATTCTGGGGAGACAAAGATGACGTCACAAAAATGTCTTATAGTTGGAGACACTTAGTTCTACCATTATTTCGCAGATACGGAAGCGGCGCTCGAAGCGCATTGGGGATTCTGGGGAGACAAAGATGACGTCACAAAAATGTCTTATAGTTGGAGACACTTAGTTCTACCATTATTTCGCAGATACGGAAGCGGCGCTCGAAGCGCATTGGGGATTCTGGGGAGACAAAGATGACGTCACAAAAATGTCTTATAGTTGGAGACACTTAGTTCTACCATTATTTCGCAGATACGGAAGCGGCGCTCGAAGCGCATTGGGGATTCTGGGGAGACAAAGATGACGTCACAAAAATGTCTTATAGTTGGAGACACTTAGTTCTACCATTATTTCGCAGATACGGAAGCGGCGCTCGAAGCGCATTGGGGATTCTGGGGAGACAAAGATGACGTCACAAAAATGTCTTATAGTTGGAGACACTTAGTTCTACCATTATTTCGCAGATACGGAAGCGGCGCTCGAAGCGCATTGGGGATTCTGGGGAGACAAAGATGACGTCACAAAAATGTCTTATAGTTGGAGACACTTAGTTCTACCATTATTTCGCAGATACGGAAGCGGCGCTCGAAGCGCATTGGGGATTCTGGGGAGACAAAGATGACGTCACAAAAATGTCTTATAGTTGGAGACACTTAGTTCTACCATTATTTCGCAGATACGGAAGCGGCGCTCGAAGCGCATTGGGGATTCTGGGGAGACAAAGATGACTTCACAAAAATGTCTTATAGTTGGAGACACTTAGTTCTACCATTATTTCGCAGATACGGAAGCGGCGCTCGAAGCGCATTGGGGATTCTGAGGAGATAAAGATGACGTCACAAAAATGTCGTATATGCAGTTGGAGCCACTTAATTCTACCATTATTTCGCAGATACGGAAGCGGCGATCGAAGCGCATTGGGGATTCTGGGGAGACAAAGATGACGTCACAAAAATGTCTTATAGTTGGAGCCACTTAATTCTACCATTATTTCGCAGATACGGAAGCGGCGCTCGAAACGCATTGGGGATTCTGGGGAGACAAAGATGACGTCACAAAAATGTCTTATAGTTGGAGACACTTAAGTTGGAGACACTTAGTTCTACCATTATTTCGCAGATACGGAAGCGGCGCTCGAAGCGCATTGGGGATTCTGGGGAGATAAAGATGACGTCATAACAATGGATTATTGGCTGGATCCACAACGGACTCCGTTTGCGCGCGGCGCTTCATTAGAACATGCGCCTGAGCGTGCCGCGATCGGAACGCGGTAGATAGTCCGGTGTGGATGCAGTTATTGATGGTTAGGACTGTGTCAGCCGACCTAGACAAAGTAATGTGATAGAATAAATAGCCAATAATACGCCGCGGAGCGGTGCGAAAAATTGAAATCTACAAAGTCGAGTTTTTAGGGCAAAGAACGAAGTGTTCTATAGATAGAATATGCGTCTTGGGATTTGCTTACTACATCAAATACCGACCGGGTAGTCACAATGACGAAGGTACACCTTGAGCACAATTTAGCTTAAGTAACCTTGGTAAACAAAGTAGACACTAGATAAAACTTTCCGAGTTACTGAACGGTCTAAGGTGACGATAGAGTGCATTCGAGTTCCAGTTTTCAGTCTTTCTGAACGCGTTTGGACAAATTTTTCCTACCCGGAGACGTTTTTGAACGCACCCTTGCGCTGTATAAACTGTCACTTACCTCCAAACTCGGCGGGCATGGGTGCTTCGTCGTCAAACCGCACGCGCCACTCCACCTGCCCGGAGTGGAAGGTGGCGTAGGAGGCGCGCGCGCACAGCGAGTCGAAGCATGCGCCGTCTATGGCTCGAAGCTTCCACGACATGAAGCCTTTTTCCGCGCCCTCTGCAGAATCAGTGTCAACATAATTAGGTCATATCCTCTGGAGACATCATCAGGTCATTTAGTTAGTGCCCATGATCATGACACAACCCAGGAGGTTGTAGAGCAGGGGCAGCTGCCTCTTCCTTTGAAAGTAGCTTTGAAGGAGCTAAGTCAAACTATTATGAGCGCACACAGCGAGTCGAAGCATACCCCGTCTATGGCGCGCAGCTTCCACGACATGAAGCCCTTTTCCACGCCCTCTGCAGACATCACCACACATCAGTGTCAACAGAATTAGGTCATATCTCTCTGGAGACACCATCAGGTCATTTAGGTAGTGCCCATGGGCGTACCCAGGGGGTTGCATCAGAAGCTGGGTACTATAGCCAAGGACTCCTCCCCAACCTGTCTGGTCAACTTGAGGAGTGCAGGCCAAATCCTCCATTTGTCTCTAGTGAATTGTTATGTTCGTATGTATGTGTCCCTTAGTAGCCTTCTACGTCCATGGGAAGAGTGGAAGGTGATCCTATTCTACTCGGCCGGAATTACACGGCAACGCACTACTCGACTGTCTCCATTTAGCTGGAGGGCATCCTACACACGCATAGTCACTCTGTATAGTATAAACGTCATTATAAAAGAACCGCACGCGCCACTCCACCTGCCCGGAATGGAAGGTGGCGTAGGAGGCGCGCGCGCACAGCGAGTCGAAGCATGCGCCGTCTATGGCGCGCAGCTTCCATGACATGAAGCCTTTTTCCGTGCCCTCTGCAGAATCAGTGTCAACATAATTAGGTCATATCCTCTGGAGACATCATCAGGTCATTTAGTTAGTGCCCATGACCATGACACAACCCAGGAGGTTGTAGAGCAGGGGCAGCTGCCTCTTCCTTTGAAAGTAGCTTTGATGGAGCTAAGTCAAACTATTATGCCCCCCCCCCCAGGCTAGAAGCTGGGTACACCCAAGGACTCCTCCTACGTCCATGGGAAGAGTAGGGAGTGACCCTATTCTACTCGGCCGAAATTACACGGCAACGCATTGCTGGACTGTTTCCATCTAGCTGGAGAGCATCCTACACACGCAATGCCACTCTGTATAGTATAAACGTTATTATAAAAAAACAGCACGCGCCACTCCACCTGTCCCGAGTGGAAGGTGGCGTAGGAGGCGCGCGCGCACAGCGAGTCGAAGCATGCTCCGTCTATGGCGCGCAGCTTCCACGACATGAAGCCTTTTTCCGCGCCCTCTGTAGACATCAGAAGAAAAGTGAAGTTTTGGCCTACACTCCCCACGCTGGTCAGACGGGTAGGCCTCAGGGAAGGACTTTTGTTCGCGTATTTGTTTATAACTTCATAAGTCACTTTTTACGTCCATGGGAAGAGTGATCCTTTTTCCTCGGCCGGAAATAATATAAAGGTCAATAAGAACCGCACGCGTCATTCGACCTGCCCACCTGGAAGGTGGCGTAGGAAGGAGGCGCACGCGCACAGCGAGTCGAAGCACGCGCCATATTCGCTTCATGAGACATCATCAGATCATTTAGTTTCCACTGCAGAAGCACTACGAACTAGTATACTAGAGGCAAATGCGAGATTTGACCCACACTCTCTGGTCAGACGAGTTGGGGAGGCTTTATGTTCATGTATTTGTCATCTTATCCCTATTACCCGTGGATATCTCATGGGAAGAGTGGGAGTAGTCCTATACTACTCTACCGGAATTACACGACAACGACACTGCTGGATTGCTTCCACCAATAGTCCATCTAGCTGAAGAATGTCCAACAACAATATACCCTTACCTTCCCTAGCGATGTAGACCTGCTGCCAGTCGTACTCGACCTTACGAAACACGTTTCTCGCGGCGAAGGCGCCGGCGCTCCACGGCGATACTGTGGCCTGGCCTGTCACGCGGTACTCGTCGGCGGCTGGGTAGTAACTGTGGGTATAATAAGAGGTCGAATTGAGAACCTTCCTTCTTTTTGAAGTCAGAAAAAACGTTTGTTACTAGGCTCAAGAGACGGTGGCCTGGCCTGTCACGCGGTACTCGTCCGCGGCTGGGTAGTAGCTGTGGATGTAAGAAGAGGTCTGATTGAGAACCTTTCTTCTTTTTTTGAAGTCGGAAACAACATTTGTTACTAGGCTCAAGAGACACGGTGGCCTGGCCTGTCACCCGGTACTCGTCTGAGGCTGGGTAGTAGCTGTGGGTACAAGCGATAAGGATGAGTAGCTTGGGGTCATTGGACAAAATTCAACGTGCTCACGACCAGGCTTTAGGCTCAAGAATGTGAACGCTTATACCAGTCACAGACATAGTGTCAAAATATTTGTAATTATTTGTCCAAATGTTTCGCATTGGCGTTTCGTGAGTTTGGTGTAAATAATAGGGCGCAAACATAATTAATTTACAAAGTTCTACGAGGTAGTCTGCAAGTTTAGTCAGTCCATAAGTAAGTGTTGTCTCTGGAAAAATTGTTCCAAAACTATTTGTGAAATAGGAGGTCATATTCCCAGTGTGAAAATTAACTTTGAGAAACATTTATACATATTTGTGTGTATTAAATCTTGATTTTTTTAACAACTTTTCTCACAAAAAGACAGGTGCCTAATGGTGTCAACAGCCCAGCTGTTGTGATCAGCAAGCCTAGCAGTATTAATAGTATACATCGAAGACTTTGTTTTCCTACCGCACGGCGACGGAGCCGGGTCGCGGGAAGGAAAACACTCAGCTCGCCGCGCTCCGTGGCTGGTCCTTCGAGCCGGATATGGCCCGTGGCTCTGGTATGTTATGTGTGTTATGTAGTGTACAATAGAGAGTATTTCAGAGTAGGTATCTATCTCTCTATCTAAAGGTTCACCTACCGCACGGCGACGGAGCCGGGGTCGCGGAAGGTGAACACTCAGCTCGCCGCGCTTCGTGCGCCAGTCCTTCGAGCCGGATTCTCGTATATTATGTGTCTTATGTGGTGTACAAGTCAGAGTGTAATCTACTTAAAGGTTAGCCCACCTTCGAGCTAAATATGCGCCTGTGACACTTGTATGCTAAATCTATTGTGTGGTGTATAATGAAGAGTATCTATCTGACTAATCTAAGGTTTCACCTACCGCACGGCGACAGAGCCGGGGTCGCGGAAGATGAACTCCTTCCCGGCGGCGCAGCCCAGCTCGCCGCGGTCCGTGCGCCACTCCTTCGAGCCCGATATGCGCCCGTGACACTCGTAGTCGCTTGGCTTTCTGCAAGACGGAAGAAAAATATATTTTGTTAGGGCGTGTTGACGAGCCGGTTTCTATCCGGTCCGGTGCCGAGCAGGTGTTCTATTTCATCGATGCTCGACTCGGCGACGAACCGGTCCGACACCGGATCGAGTAGAAACCGGTTCGTCTACACATGCATTTCATCTCATCTTGGCGCGGCGAAATGATATGTGTTTTGAACAATCGGTCCAATTTTCTTTCCTCATCTTCTCTTCGCTTAGCATCAGTGGAAATGGATCGAGCGGAGAGGTCAGAAGATGATGATAGAACTCTTTCTCTAGAGCAGTGTTTTTCAACCTTTTTCATGACACGACCCCCCTAGTATGAAAAAATGTTTGGCGACCCCCCGACCGTTCGCTTTTTTTTTCATGCATTTTATAATGTTGCAAAGATGTTTGTAGGGACCGAATACTTCAATCCATACAACATTAGCATAATTAGATTTCGGATTAATCTGTCTTTATAAGATTTTTTTTTCTGACGTAGTTTTTACGACCTCTCGCGACCCCCAGGGGGTCGCGACCCACAGGTTGAAAAACACTGCTCTAGAGGATGGAACATGACTTAGACTCATTTCTCTATAGAATTTCGTTTTGCGCGTCAGAGTTGAGATGTTTGTAGTTAGGCGGTCGCGTAACGCTTGCGCGCCCCGCTACCTTCTCCCCGCACCTCGCACACCAGAATCATTTCATGCTCTCACAGCTCACATCTCCGCTACGTACAGCTCACGTCTCCGCTTTGATAGTCGCAGTAACTGGATCGCGCTGCGCGAGTTCGCGCACTCCTGGCACACAATCAGGCGAAGTTATGAGAAGAAGTGACATTTATCAACGATAGCAGCCCGACGCGAAGTACCGTATTTGTGGTGTCAAGCCCCAGAAGGGGGAGAATTGACTATGAGAAGGGACATGGATCAGAGAAATTTGTAGAGAGTCAAGCAAAGCGCCCGGGGAAAGGAGCCCAGAGCAAGAACCCGCGCGCTCTCCCGAGATTCGGTTCGTACGCCGTGAGGCAGGGAGAACCATGGGTGGTGGTGGGTTAGCTCACCTCTCGCACATGAGCTGCGCGAGCTCCCCGAGCGTGCGGCGGGTGAGGTGCGCGCGGCGCGGCGCCGACACCTGCCGCTGGCGCCGCTCGCGCAGAATCATGATGGCTGCCAGGAGTTCATGCTCTAAGACCAGCGTGCGTCTGGTTAGGACCTGATGATAATGAGAAACACAATACGCATTAACACACAAGGCAGGAAAAGAAAAGAAATACAAAAAAGAGACGGTACAGTTAGTCGGTTTTATATCAGATAGTATGACATGACAACCAAAGTAAGAATAGATAACGTCCAATTGGTGAGCTAAAGCAGGGTCTCCAGCGCCCGTTTTGCCGTACACAATCAACAAAAACATGACGTCAACATTCAACAAAATTGTTTACACAAAACATTGTTTTACTAAGCACGTGTTCCACTAAGCCTGGAAAGAAAAAACATTGTAAACAAACTAAATGTTCTTGTAGACAATTTTGTTGGATGTTGACGTATTTTTGTTGATTGTGTAGGGCAAAACAAGCGCTGGAGACCCGGCTTAAGGTCCCCTCAATGCTGAACCAGCAATAGCCCAGCTGTGAAGGTATCGGACTGACTGATTCGTGGTCCGAGGAACGATGGTTCGAAAACCGTCACTGGACTATTATGTAGTAACCAGGGGTTAAAAAAGTGACAAGCGTTAACAAGTGGCAGGAAAATGAAACCTATTTCCAAGGGAATAAGTCTGACCTCTTTAAAGTTGGTGGTGTACCGCCACGTGACGTCCTGCACGTCGTCGCGTGACACGGCGATGACGTAGGACAGCTTCTTGCCCCAGCCGTGGCTGTAGATCAGCGGCGCGTTCAACTTCGCCTCGCACGGGTCTACGTGAAGCCAAGTTCGCGAGTCGTAGTCGAATACCTGACGGAAGTATATCAAGACCGTTTTTAACTCTTTCACTAGCGTAGAGAAAAATATTTGATTTGATTTTTTATCTCTCTTAGTTGAAAATATGAAGGCAACTATTCAGCCACCACCAGGTAAAGGCTTAACCTACTAGAAGCCCCGAGCATCAAAGGGATCTATTTTGTAAGGAAATCACAACTAAACATTTTCAGCGACTACGCACAAACTGTGTTCTAGTTCCACGTGATACCTACGTGGTGTCACTCATCTCGCACCACACGTGGTCTGTGTTGTCATATATGTAGATAGCACGTGTCATATCCCAGCGCTCGACACAGCAATGTGTAGCGCGTGGTACGTAGTGACTCACCTCGCACCACACGTGGTCCGAGTGCCACTCACCTCGCACCACACGTGGTCCTAGTGCCACTCACCTCGCACCACACGTGGTCCGTTGTATCGTACACGTAGCGCGTGTCGTATCCCAGCGCGCGACACAACAGCGTGAAGCAGTTGGCCCACTGGCCGCAGCGGCCCACTCACCTCGCACCACACGTGGTCCTAGTGCCACTCACCTCGCACCACACGTGGTCCGTTGTATCGTACACGAAGCGCGTGTCGTATCCCAGCGCGCGACACAACAGCGTGAAGCAGTTGGCCCACTCGCCGCAGCGGCCGCGGCGCGTGCGCAATAGCATCTTGGGGTCGTTGAAGCGCGGGAACTCCGAGGAGCGGCCGCATTGGATGCACGTGTATAGCTGTAATTTGTTTACTTTCAGTATGTTCACAAATAAGTATAATCTATTAGTGAGAAGCCAAACATTTTGCCGCATCCCTGTACACATGTAGTATGTGGCGCCGCAATACGGCGCCGTTTCGCTCAATCGAAGTGCGGTGTGCCTGCGGTGCGGCGCCGGAACGCACCGTCTGGCATATCATTGATTTTCATATGCAGGACGCCGCAGCGACATCGCTCCGGCGCCGTGCCGAGACCGTATCGCACCGTGTGGCTTCGCCCTTAAACTTAATGTAACACCGCATTTAGAAACTAGTCGACAAAAAATACTTTATTTGTTTTGTTTATGCGATTTTAATACCAAATTCTGTATCTACTTGAGTCACTATGCTTGGTATTTGTATTTTATCATCATGGCTAAATTTACGTTTTTCGAATAAACGTGATCTGACTATAGTTATAGCTCAATCTGTTATGTGTAGGCAATGTTACTGTACTATTGGATTAAACTCGCTAATGTTATGGCAAGTGCATCTTATAACTTACCTCTACAGTGCAGGTCTCAGTCGGGGTATTCATGCTAGAAGACCCCGAGTACTTGGTGGCCCCTCCGCACTTGTTGCACTCTGGCTTGTCCACCCACTTGAAGTACTTGTGCTTGAACCACCCCAGTAGCTCCATCAGCAGCGCGATGTCAAACGGGAGATCGTGGGTATTTATTTCACCTGATAAAATTTTGTTTATTTATGGATATGTATCGTTGGTCCTAATAAACTACCCTGAAGAGCACCATACATTATTTTAAATACTGAAAAAAGAAGTGGTTTTGGCGCATTGGATGATGCCTGTTGGAAGTTTCTGTAGAGAGATTATTGGAGTCCTTTTTATACACTGAATTAGATTTGGTGATGCAGTGACATTCCAATAGAAAGTATATCAAATGCCTCTGTATTATCTTATCTTATCTGTAAGGGCAAACAATAATGGACCTGCTACCTGTACACCTGCAATACACCTGCTACGACCTGCGACGTAAACTGGGGCCCAGTGATAGACTTACCTTTTACCTTGTTTTAGTAATTCTAGTCTTTTTTTTTTGGATTGTGTAAAGAGTTGTGGTAAATGATAAATTCTTGAGGCAAGATCAAATTAACTAAATTTTAATTTTTATAGTAGAACTATGTATTTTAGAATAAAACTTAAGTTCATTGCATACCAGTTTTAATTTTCCTCTGATGTTCCCTGATCCTGTCCAGAGCCATAAGTTGCAGCGTGACCAGCGGAATCTCTTCCCTGGCTAGTTGCTGCAACTCCTCATCTTCATACTTGATCATGTTGTTGAATAGTGATTGGATTTTCAATAACAGTGCATTTTTTGTGTTCTAGAAAAAGAAATAAAAGATTTGTTTATTGTCATTTGTTTATTCATTGGAGGATAAAGGACACTTGTAACTCAGATTGAGTTTCACATGGGAAGTAAGTGTAAGATATTAATATTACCAGTATATTGGGAGGCCCACAAACAAATATTATTTTCTACCTTGCCAAAGGTTCACACAAATTATAGCTTAGTCACTACAAATTAGATATTATTAAAGATATTTTTGAAATAACCAATGTTATGTTCTTACCAGAACATTAAGTGGGACCAGTTTTGGCTTCTTAGCTTGTACCATACACTGGGCGTATGTTACGTTTCTCCTGCTGGGCTTGACCGGGCCACAGCAAATGCTGATTTTCCGCTCGATTGCTGCCTGTGCTATCCTCAGCTTGTTTAGAGTCTGTTCTTTAGGGTAGATTATTTCACCTTTCGTCTAAAATAGAAAAATATTCATGTAACATTTTTATTAAGTTTTTGGTGTGTATCATACTCAAGAGAAAATACCAATAACTATAATAACAATTAGGTATTATATTAGTTTATTTAGCTACATAATTACTTGTAGGTACCATTTTTACAATTTCTTATCATGTATGAAATGTATTGAATCATGACAATAATAGATTCTCTTATCAGTAATAAGTACATTAAAGACAATTCAGTGTGAATGGAACTGGGATCTTAACTTTTTAACACATAAAAAGAAAAGCCAATGCATATTGCACACTACCTTCTTTTAATATCAAAAAAAATGCTTACCAATTGGAATCCAACATATTTTAGATATTCACTAAAAGGTTCAGTTCCTAAATGTTTTTTTAATAAATCACTTTGAATAGTCCGTAAATCGTAATCGTGGGGGCTTTCTAAAATGTTTGTGATAACTCGCAGTAATTCGATCAAGAGTTTGGTAAACTTTTCCGAGTCTCCTGTGTGCTGTTCCACCACTGCTAGACGTGGAATGTCTTCCATATTTTCAATATTATTTAATTTACAATTTAAACACGCAATAATTATACAAAATTGGACTTAATTTTAAAAAATATTAGCGGTCCGGAATCCTTGTCACTTGTCAATTTATGATTTGTCACTGTTCAGCTGATTGCAATGTTCCTTTATTCTGAAAAGTCACAAATTTTAATCATCGTAGTCAAATGTCAAAAAAAGTTTTCAAATCCGATTAACATCTGCAAAAGTGGCAAAAGAGAACCTCAAAAAAATGTGAATAATGGAACAAGCCACTCAAGGCGATCCGTTCCACGCACTAGACGTTACTTCCATACATAATTTTTTGCTTATTAAGATGACCAAGGAGTTTGGTTGAAAGCCATTAATATTTATTAAATTAATCTATCATTTGCAATACAATCATCAACTTGTTAATTTAAACTTCGCAATAAAAGTACTTTGATAATTTTATTTGATCAGCCTTGAACAAGTTCTGGTTACCATAGCAGAAGGAAAAGTAAACAAAAACTCAGGATCTATTCTAGCCAGCATTCTTATTTTATTTTCAAAAATGTAGTAAAATTATTTGATTCATTTTATTTATGACTGCGAATATGTTAGGTAAGTATGTTTAGGTACTTCACCACAGTTTACAGGGTGCTGTTTGTTTGTAGTCTATCAATATCCTTCCGTGACAATCCAAATCACTACAGTTTCATAGTCTTTTTAGTTTTATAAATAGTACACACACTGTATAACATGCATTCCATAATCATTTTCCAGCAGACGAGTTTCCTCGTGGCTCTCGCAACTGGCTGCTACACGCGCGCTACGTGCGAGGAGAGCATGCCTTGTGCATGGAGCTGGCCGACGACCTGCAGAAGAACAGTGAAAATAAGCACAGATATGCGCACTTTGTAAAGGTGATGAAGAAAATTAGAGAGATGATTTTTAAACCTCTCAAACCTGTAGGTAGTAGGTACACTCGCGAGCAAAAATATGGAATCACCCTATTTGTTTCGAGCGATCACAAAAACTAAATGACTAATAGAAGACAAATAAAAATGGTACCATTTTAAAGGTAATATTGTGACGCGCCCCGCGACGCATCGACAGCCCTAGCACCCAGCGCAGAGATTTTGACAACCCTACGGCTGCGCGGCCGCACGCCGCACGGACCGAGAGCTAATATATGAGACGGCGGCGACCGCGGGT